GGCGAGCGGGCTGGGCGCGCTGGGGGCGGCAGCGCCGGGCGGCGGAGTGGGCGCGGCGCGGCGCGGGGAGGGGGCGCGGGCGGCGGCCGTGGGGGAGGGGCGCGGGCGCCGGCGCGGCCGCGGGCGTTGAATGGAGCGGAGAGTGGAGCGGGGCAGGCGGGCGGAGAAGGCCGGCCGGGGCGGGGGGGTGGCCGGGGCCCTGCTCGCCGGGCATTGCCTAATACGGTGCACGGCGTGGCGCGGCGGCCCGGGGCGCGGGCCGGAGGTTAAGTATAGACCCGGGCAGGAATGCGGGGCCGACCCGCGGGGGAGGTGGCTTCGGCCCGGCCGCCCCGGGCGCCGCTGCCTGTTGCTGCTGCTGAAAAAAAGCCTGGGTCCCGCGGCCCCGGAGCTGTCCGGCCGGCGGCCCCCACGGCGCATTTCCTCGTGCTGCAGATCTCTGGGCAGAGTTTTCGGAACTGTTAATGTCACCACGAGTTTTGATTTTTGATTTTTTTTTTCCCCCTGAGCCCCAGAGCTTCTTACTTGGGACGATATTTTAAAAACCCTGCCGTATCGGAGCCTGGCCCTCGTGTCCAGCATCTTTATGGCCCCATGCTTCGTGACTGATACCCTGTACTTTTATTTCTGACTTTGAGTGTGACTTATAAGTTAAGGTTACACAATGACTATCGCTCTTCAAAGAGCTGTCCAAGTGACTTGTGTGTCGACTGCTTTTCAAGACCTGTTGGGAAAATGCTCTTCTGTTTCTAAATTGCATTGTCTTTTTAAAAAGTTATTTTCTCATTATCACATGAAGTATTATTAATCTATACAAATGTGGCGGAACGTTTACTATCTTAAACTTTCTCTGGGGCTTATAGAAAAGAATAAATGGTTTGACCCAGTACTGAGTACCTATTATGTGTTTAGTGTAACCCTGAATACCAAATACAGTTCACAAAGAATACATTTATTGAGGATTTACTATGTGGCAGGTACTGTGTTGATACTTTAGATGTACAATCTCATTTTGAGTTCTCTACCATCCTGTGAGGGATACATTGATACATTTGACAGATTAGGAAACTGAGGCACAAAGGGGTTAAGTAATTTGCTCAAGATTATACAATCCGCAGGTGTCAAGACTCGGATTTCAGCCTAGACAGTCTGACTCCAGAGACGTGCTACTTCTTTGCCTTTCTGCTTTACTAAATTTTATAATCTCGTAGAAGAAAAATAATATATTCAGAACAACTAGAGAACAATTGAGTACCTACCATGGGCTGCTATCATTAGCGACAGTGGGAGCTGAGAGAATTTTCTCCCCTGTGATAGTCTTACCCAGTTTTTGGAACATTTTTGGAATACCTGCCATTTGTTAACTGGTATGCTCTCCCTTTCCTTTTCTGTCCACTCTCCGTTTTGAGAACCAGGTTAACCTTTTAAAAGTGAAAATCAATGCATAAGTCTAGTTTAAAGCGTTCAGTGACTCCCTATTACCTCCACTGTAATCTAAGGGATTTAGGCTGTTGGTCTTTTAAGGGCCTTTGCAATACGCTCCCTGATTCCCCTTTCCAGTTTTATTGTATTTGAAATCGACTGTAACCCATAATACCGGCAAAGCACCATGCATTTTTATTTTCACAGCTCCCTCCATTTTTGCTCAGACCGTTCACTCTTTGTATAATATCCTCCTTGTTCCTCATATGATTTCTAAATCAAGCCATCCTCTTTGAAGGTTTCCAGGTCTTCTACCCCATCTGGAGCAGAATTAAATGCTCCCTCCTTTGTGTTCTCACACTTCATTCCTATCTCTCCTACCTGCCCAGCGAATTACTGAGTATCTGAAACTTATCTGTCTCCCTGCCTATATTGGGAAGGTCCCTTATCATTTTCACCTCTGTTTAAAAGCAAAGGTAACCAAAATGGAATAATCCATGTAACTCTTGGGAGGCTTTTAGAGGCACTGAGATTTGAAGAAGGAATAGGATTGGCATATGTGGAGAGTAGATATTTCGAGTGAGATAAATTCTAGAAATAGGCATGAGATGCAAGAAAGCCTGGTATATTCTCTTGATCTAATTGGAGGGTAGTGTTGGAGAACAGAGGTAAATAAAGTTGTAGTGTGGAAAGTGGGACACCAAGGTATACATTGAATAGTACAGATAGCAGAGGGTTAGCTGAGGTTCTTTTTGTTCACTTATTTTGTTTTTCTTTTAGCAGAACTTTGAAGTATATTAAATTTTTGTAATAGTTTTGAAAACAATAAAATAAAAGATAAGTATTTACATAAATATAAAAAAATAACTTGCCTAATTTTATAAGCTTAGCATGACCTTTTTTCTTATCTTTTATGTGAATATCTTCATTCAGATAGCATATATCCCCATTATGCTATTATTCCTCTTGCCTGCTTTATTTTTCTCATTGCACTTATTGCCATATAACTGTACAGAGTATTTTACTTCTTTGTATTGTTGCTTATTGTCTGTCATGCCCCCATTAGAGTGTAAGCTGGTAAACGCATCTTACAGAGCATTGCAGTTAGGGTATCTGCTCTATTATATATTCTATTTTCACCTAATGTCCTACCAAATATTTCTGTATAGTTTTCATAAAAATATTCTTTCATGGCTACATAAGAGTGTATAGATTTAATGTACAATAACGGATTCGCTCATTCCTCTAATGACATTTTGCTTTTATTTGTATCTGTTGAATTAGTTACTTAGGATGAATTCCCTGGAGTAGAATTACACCTTTAAAGGATGTGAGGATTTTTATGGTACTTGTTCATAATGGGTGCTTGACCAGAGAAGTGAGTATTTCTCCCTCTCTCTCTTTGTTGTTTTTTTTTTTTTTTCTTTTTCTTTTCAGGACTTTTGAGCCCATATGTGTCAAGTGCATTGTCCTTGGTCAAATGAGAGATGTAAGACAAATATTTTAGGCTCTGTTCTTGAAGAAGTGTAACCCCGGGGGCATTTATATATTGCAATAAAAGACAGAATGAGTTAAGTGCTTGACAGAGGTGACAGGTGAGACAGGTAGGGGGAATCAGAGAAAGCTTTGTGGTAGAGATCATAGCATTTCAACTGAGCTCTGAAGGATGAGTAGGATTTGATAGGCATGGATGAGGAAACAGCGTGAGTTAGGGTACAGAGATGTGACATTCCTAAACATGTTGTTCAGGCAATAGCAAGTGGGCCTGAAGTGTAGGGGGGAGATGAAGCTCGATGGGGAGCATGGACCACTGTACAGGGCCTTAAATGCCTTGTTAACATGTTTGGATTTTAATCTGTAAATAGTACAATAAGGTGTCGGTTAGAGGCTATGCTTCACTCCTATTTTGCTGGGTAGCCTCAGATAAGTTACTTAAACTCTCTGACCCTGAGTTTTCTTACCTGTAAATTGAAACAATACAGCTCCTTTACTAGATTATTACAAAGAATAAAAAGATCATGGATATGAAGTGATCAGCAAGGTGAATGATACTGAGAGAGAAACTACTCAAGATATTTTCAGAGTATACATAGTGTGAGTTATTAGAGCACCAAACCCAAGGTTCAGGCATATACATTTCCCAAAATGTTAAGTAACAGACATATACTTTATCCCCAAGGAGGGTAGATCCATTGTATGGATGTTGTTTATCCAACTTTTTTATCCATTTATCTGTTGATGGACATTTTGGTTCTTCCCAGGTTTTGGCATGACAAAGCTATGAATATTCAGGTACAAGTCTTTGGACATATACTTTCATTTTTCTTGGATGAATATCTTTGAGTGGAATGGCTGGGTCATATGGTAGTCGCATTCTTGATTTCTTAAGAAACTGCCCAAACTTTTCCAGAGTAATTGTACCGTTTTACATCCCTATGGGCAATGAATGAGAGCTGCTGTATATCCTCACCAACACTTTGTATGGTCAGTCATTGTAATTTTAGACATTCTAATAGGTGTGTTGTGTTATCTCATTGTGATTTTATTTTGCATTTCCCTGGTGACTAATGACACTGAACATCTTTCCATGCATTTACTTACCATTTGTGTATCTTTTTTGGTATAGTGTCTGTTCAAATCTTTTGCCCTTTTTAATTTTTTAATTTTTATTTTTTATAATTTTTTTAAAGATTTTATTATTTGACAGAGAGAGACACAGCGAGAGAGGGAACACAAGCAGGGGGAATGGGAGAGGGAGAAGCAGACTTCCCGCGGAGCAGGGAGCCCGATGCAGGGCTCAATCCCAGGACCCTGGGATCATGACCTGAGCTGAAGGCAGATGCTTAATGACTGAGCCACCCAGGCACCCCATTTTGTGTCCCCCCTTTTTTTAAATGAGGTTGTTTGATTTTTCTATTACTGAGTTCTGAGAGTTTTTTATATAGTATGGATATAGGTCTTTATCAGATATGTGATTTGTAAATATTTTCTCCTAGTTGTGGCTTGGTTTTTTTATTTTCTTCACAGTGTCTCTCAAAGAGCAGAAGGTCTTACTCTTAATGAAATCCAGTTTATCTGTTTTTTCTTTCATGAACCTTTCAGCTTAACTCCATTGGCATGAGTGTCTATGTGCAGTAGCTTGAAACACATATTGGCTGCTAAATAAAAGTTTCAATTTAGTCTAGGAAAGGAAGTTTAGAGGTGTCAATGAACAATATATGAAAGTATGGATGGTATGAATGTCAAAGACCATCTCAGGGACGAGCCTCCGCAGGGTTACTTTATCGGAGGTGTCAAGAAGAAATGATAACATTAAAATATCACCATTTTTCAGTAATGCTGAAATAATGGCTCTGGGCAATGATCAGCAGTGAGTGCTAACATCACAAACCAAAGGGACGACCAGAAATGATGTGCTCTGTAGGGAAGTACACAACATAACTTAGGAATTAGCCTCAAATGTGAATCTGTCTGATCAAGCACATGGAACTGTCAACTTCACAGGAAATACAGGGAACAGAAGAACATAATAAATGACATGTGGGTAGTTTTGCAAGACAAACCACTCAGTGTTCTCGACAGACAAATTTCACGAGAAAGAGAGGGAAGGAGAGATGGATAGAGGGAGGGAGGGGAAACCTATAGATTAAGAGTCATGAAAGACATAGCAACTAATTACAACATATGAACTTTACTTCAATCATGAATTTTAAAAATTATGAGACAATTGAGAAAATTTATATCCTGCCTCTATGTTTTGTGACTGAAGATTTTTTTTACATGGGATGGTGGTATTATGGTAATGTTTATTAAAAGCAATCCTCTTATTATGAATCAAACTATAGAAGGTATGAGATTTCCTTCAAAGTAATGAGGGGAGATGATGGTGAGGAGAGAATCGAATAGAGGTTTGGGTGATATGCAGGATTGTCCATAAGATGATAATGCTTGAAGCTGGGCAGTGGGCTCATGGGGGTTCCTTATACCCTTCCTTCTCTGTATCATTGGGTATGTGCGAAGTTGTTCATAATTAAAATCTAAAAAGAAGTGTTGAAATAAAAAAAGAAGATGCAGGTGTAGATAAGCTAAGTTCCCTATGGAGCAGGTTGTCCCAAGAAACCTCAGGAGGAAAAGAAAGAAGCACCAGAGACAACCAAAGAAAGAACTCCTCCTTCAATAAGATTTTTCAGGGTCATCATAGCGTAGTGACATGGCAAGAAGGCTCTGTGTTTAGTGAGTTATGATTCATACCTCCTGTTACAGCACTGTTTTGTTTTCTCCACTTAACTAATTTAATAGTTCCTTGAGGCAAGGACTAGGTCTTATTTATTTCTAATTTCCCAACATGTAGTACACTCCCTGGCTTAGCGGCTTAGCAATAAATGTTGAACGTGAAGATGAATGAATAAAGAAATGAATTAAGCTAAAAAGCAAGCAATCTTTTACATAGGAAGCACATGTTTATATATTTTCCAAAGAGAGTACTTTCTCAAGGACTGAGCATATCCATCTGGGTTCAAATTTAGGTAATCAGCCACTTTGGCCTATTTTTTAAAAAACAAAACCTTCTAGAAAATAATTCCAGGGGCGCCTAGGTGGCTGAGTCGTTAAGCGTCTGCCTTCAGCTCAGGTCATGATCCCAGGGTCCTGGGATCGAGCCCCGCATTGGACTCCCTGCTCGGCGGGAAAGCCTGCTTCTCCCTCTCCCACTCCCCCTGCTTGTGTTCCCTCTCTCGCTGTCTCTCTCTCTCTGTCAAATAAATAAAATCTTAAAAAAATAAATAAATAATTCACAGTTGCAGAAGCTCTACTTGCTTTTGCATTTTTTTTTTAAATTACAATTACTAAACCCATGAACGTAGGGAGTGCAAAGTTAAATGTAGGGCCCCTATGGGAGACTTTGTCATCCCATTGTGATGGTGGGTTTAGAAAGTGAGCACTCATTAGTTCAGATAAGTTCCTGGCCACAGTGACTGAAAAACAGTTGAGAAGTTAGGATAGATGGCCCCATGGTCCTTTCTAACCCCACCCAGGGTGTTAATTTCTTTTATTTCCGAACAAGTTAGTAATTGGTAAGATCCTAATACTGTATTAGGTGGTACAATACTGCCACCTATGGAGCAACAGTAAAACTTGTTACTATGTTATAATACGTGGATTTTTATATTTTGCTATTTAAAAATGTAGAAAAGTTGCCATCTAATGAATCCTTTGATGAATTCGTTGTTAGGTTAATAATTACCTCTTAAAATGATCTTTTGTAAAAACCTGATTTGGATTTTCCTTAAAAAGAGACAAGTGTATGAAAAATGTGAATATAAACATCTTAATATGCTTTTTGTTTTCTTATTGTTAGTGTGGGGACTTAGAATTGAAGATGGTGAAATCATAATATTTTAAATCTAGAAGGCATATAAAACATCACCCAGATTAGCCCAGCACAGAATTCAGCATTGACCCTCATATGGGATGAAGCCATCAGTGGGTCCACATATGGGATGAAACCATCAGTTGAATCCAGTAAAGGCAGGGTATCATGGAGAGAGAATAGCATGGGGCATTGGGAGACCTCAAGGGGTCTAATTCTACCTGGACTATTGACTTTAAGACTTAGGGTAAGTCACTTGACACCTCTGCATGGTGACTGTCTCATCTATAACAGTGGCCCTCAAACCTTTTTGATAGCACACTATTATCAGTTAAAATATTAGAGCATAATTCTTTCTATAACTTTTAAATTTTACTTGTAATTCAAATATACCAAATACCATGATTAACTAACATCCCAAGGCACAATATATACCTAGAGCCAGACCAGTACAGCATCGTGGTTCAAAAGCATAGACTCTGAGCTCGGCGGTGGGTTTACATCCCCCGCTGCCTGGCTCTGTGACCATTTCTGCCTGTTTCCTCAGCAGTAAAATAGGATAATAGCAGTCCCTACCTCACAGGGAATTTGTGAGCATGAAATACTAATATGTTGAATGTGCATTTAGAACATTGAAAGCGTTCTGAAAGTACATGTGTTATTTTCAGCGTTGTTGGTATCATTAACATTTCCCTCTTTGGAAGATCTTGCTGATAATTTCAGATTTTACCTGACTTCTTGTCACACCTCATAGGAACGTACATCCCTGCTTTCCCCTCAGTGTGTGCTGAGGAGGAGTGGAAGTGCCCGGAGGAGAAGCACCAGCCGCCATCCTCTGTTGACCTTGTTTACCATGTTCATCGTATTCAATCAGTAGTTCCTTTGTGGGGAATCTTTAAAGCCATTTGTCCTTTTTATGAGTGTTCTTTAATTAAAAAGTTAAAACTGTATAATAATGTTATCGTTCACAAACCCATGTAACTAGACACTCTGGAGACCATCGAATTAAAAAAGCCTGGAGTAGCTACTCCTTTCTGTGGGTGGGTTACTAAAGATTTTAAAAAGTTACAGATGGTGTAACTTTTTAAAACTTAAAAGTGCTCTTGTAATTGTGAAGGAAACTGGAAAAAGATGAACTTTCATTAGTGTCTCTAGCAGACTGAGTGTATGGTGAGAAAGCTGGTCTTTGCAGGTGCAGCTTTTGCGTGTGAAGTGCCAGTCATTCACAGCACACAACCTGTCACATAGAAGTAGAACTTGAAAAGGCAAGGCATATGTATTTTGTCCTTTTTGTAAAGCAAACTCTTTGAAAGCAGGCCCATATCTGACCTTCTGTATGCCTTCTGTGGCACAACAATTGTTATTATTTAGTGCAAATTCTAAAAAAAAAATATATGAAAGATTTTTACTTATACTTACATATAAATATATACCATATATTTGTATAAGTACATACACACTCACAGGTTTTTTCCTTAAGAAATATTTATATAATTATGAAATGCTTTATAATAACCTCATTTTGGGTACATCACTTCTTCAGTCTGTCTGCTGAAACCAAACATGAAAGGGATATTGTTTGACATTTGAATCTAGTTGATCTCCAATATGTTCTATTCATCCCCTTAAAGAGTCAATATAAAAACAATGCCATTTCTTCCTGTGGGTTTTGTTAAATAGAATAATGAACTGAGAACATAATAAAACAACATGTTACTATATAAATTATGCCATTTATTTTCAGGAAGATCCTTGGTATTCATTTTGATAGAACTTTATAAAATACTTGTATTTTTTCTAGGTGGTTGGTTTTAGCTATTGCCATGGTACGTTTTTATATGGAAAAAGGAACACACAAAGGCTTATATAGAAGTATTCAGAAGACACTTAAATTTTTCCAGACATTTGCCTTGCTCGAGGTAAGTTTTTAATGATGCTGTTTTCCTATTGTTGTAATATTTATTTGAAAATTATTTGTTGAGCAAAATCAGCCTCATTTTGCTGATGACATACCACCTATGGATTTGTAGAAAACCAGTGTTCACAGGGATTTATATTATGTTGCATGCTATTGACTTGTGATTTTTTTTATTTGCTTACAGATAGTCCACTGTTTAATTGGTGAGTTTCTGATTTAATTTTTATTGTCAGTATAAATTGCCTTTAGGGCAATGGTTGACTTGTTTTTCTCTTTAAGGAATTGTACCTACTTCTGTGATTGTGGCTGGGGTCCAAGTGAGTTCAAGAATCTTTATGGTGTGGCTCATTACTCACAGTATAAAACCAGTAAGTGACACTAACAGGTTCTCTTCATGAGCCTGCAGGAAAGCTTTTTTATTAAAAGGAATCTAAAATACTAGCATTGCTATATTTCAGGAAGCAGAACCACTAGACAAAAAAGGGGCTGGGTTTGGATTTAAGTGTGATTGTACATTGACTTAGTGCATTAGTGGAATGACCTTAAAACACAAGCAAAATTAAGTATTTATATTCATAATCTATTCTCCTCTGATGTTTCCCAGTTTTTAAAATTAATATTCATATTCTGTCAAATAGTTAACTGAAAATTTTCTATTGATGTGTATTCTCTTTGATTATGTATTGAAGTCGCCACTATAAACAGTGTGTTTTTCCTCATTCACCATGGAGTGTTGTAGCAACAGGCGTAAAAAGCAAATATAGTTCTGTAGATCTGAGCAAATGGGAAAGACTAAATGAGAAGTTGGAAGGGCTGGGGAGCTTAGGGGAAATTAGCATATTATTTATTGAGGCATGACAGGAGACAGATCTGAATCTAATTAATGGCTTAAACCCTTCTAGACAAACACACACCACACTCACTATGTCAAGGCACTGGGCCTTTTAAACCCATGACAGAAACATTTCCCAGATGGGCCCTTCTGACCTTCTGACAGCCTCCGGCGTCTCCTGGCTACTTGAGGACAGATCTCTGGCCTTCTTTCCATTCCTGAGATGCCTTTCTTGTCCTTCCTCTGCTTGAAATGATACCTTCACTCCCTTCCCTTGCCTGTGAGACTCCCTGGCCCCCGTCTGCGCAGGGACAGATCACTGCCCTTCTGCTCTCTCACCACTCTGCACATTAGCCTCTCCAGACCACTGTCTTTCACTCAACTCCCTCGGTCCGCCTGGCCCCTCACCAGGGACTGCTGTGCACTTAGCAGTGAGTGCAGCCCACGCAGAGAGCCAGACTTTGTACTCAGATTGCCGTGTAGTTTAAAAGCAGGAGTCCACCATAAGCAGAACAGACAGTGAGCGAATGTAATAGCTGGGCCGGGACTACAGAGCGTCTGAAGACTAAGGAAGAAGAGAGACCAGACCGGGTAGGCAGCATCAGCTGTGGAAAAGAAGTGAGAGAGAATCTAACGGGTTGCTAGCCCCCAGGAGAAAAAAGACCCATCCGCTCTTTTTTTATCCTCCAAAGGATCTCTGTCTTAGTCTTACTATTTAATTTTCTCCAACAAGAGTCTCCTACTGGTACCTTTCCACCCCTCTTTAATTAATTCAGCCAACATTTATTTCTGTACCTTTGACGTTGTGCTCATGTCTGGATTTACAAAAATGGATAGGGCCATTCCAGCTGTATGCGTACTGGTTGTTGGGAAGTGGGGGGCGGTCTTACAGACGTCAAATCATTCAACAAATACTAATCGCACAGCTGTTCTACACCTGAGACTTTGCTGGGGATCTGGCAGTTAATACAAATACAGTCCCTGCCTCGTGGATCCTGTAACTGGGAGAGGCGGTAAACAAGTGGGTGCACAAATACAGCTGACCTTGAACAATACGCATTTGAACTGCGCATGTTCACTCATACATAGAATTTTTTCTTTTAATAAATTTTTTTCTGATAAGTACAGTACTATGTGTATTTTCTTTTATGATTTTGTTAATGACATGTTCTTTTCTGTAGCTTGCTTTATTGTAAGAATACAATGTGTAACACGTAGGACATACAAAACGTGTTAATCAACTGTTTACAGGTTATCGATAAGGCTTCTGGTCAACAGTAGGCTATTAGTTGTTAGGTTTTGGGGGAGTCAAAACTTACATGCAGGTTTTTTGACTACGCAGCATGGGGTGTTGCCCCTAACCCTCACTTTGTTCAGGGGTCAACTGTAATTGTTTCATTATGTTAGTGTTAGTGCTTTGAAATAAGAGATAGTATGTATTACCATGTACCTGGGGACTTAGCCTGACTTAGGGAGGGAGGGCAGGCTTACTCGAGGAAGGAATGTATAAGGAGAGCACTGATGCATACGCAAGAGTCAGGCAGACAGACTTTCATACAAATCGGCAAGTGTTACAGTACCGATATGAACAAGGAAAGTGAGCAAATAACTGCTCAGGGCGAAAGGAGGGGTTTGGGAAAAGTTTTCCAGAGGGCGTGATGCTTTAGCTGGATCATAAAGGGTGAGAAAGGGTTTCCCGTGGGAACTAACAAGGGAGTAAGTAGCATTCTAATTGGAGGGAATAGCATGTGTTAAGATGCAAACGTTCAGAGCATGTTCTGGAAATAATACTAAGTTGGTGGTGTCACCAGAGAGAAGAGCTGGTAGTGGGAGGTTGAGAGATTGCAGATGAAGTCGGGGAGATTCCTGAGCTCCAGATCGCAGAGAACCTTGAATACAACCCTTTTCTCCTGTTAAGCAATAGGGAGCCAAAGAAGCTTTTAAGTCACAGAATCACTGCTTCCAAATGTGTTTTTGTTTGTTTTGCGCTTAAGAGAAGACATCCATTCATGGAGAGAATAAAGAGTGGAGGGGCTGTTTAGCAGGCTGTTACAGTGGTGTGGATGGAGACGGTGAGGCTCTGAGTTCAGTGGTGGTCACAGGACAAAAGACGAGTGGACATATGCATGTGCAGTAGCTAGTGCTCTAGTAGGATGGGTACCCTCAGACGACCCCCAGAAAGTTGGAGCATCAGATTGTTCCCACGCTGGTTTTGAGGGGGTGATGTTGTCCCGGGATGGTTGAGTTAGCGGCCGGAGCAAAGGCTGAGAAGGAGAAACCAGTAGAAATGTGACCATTCCTGTGTCTAGGACATAGTTGTGTGTTGTCATGAATTATGTAATAGTGGCAGCGTTAAGTTTTCTGTCTTGCCTCTGTCTGCCCCTGACGTTCCAATGTAGTCAGAGACACAGAGCAAGTAACTAAGATTCTTCGTGGAGAAAAATGTTGAAGGTTAAACCACCCTGTGGGTTTCTCTGTGGTTCTGCAGATCCAGAATGAGGAGAGCGTGGTGCTTTTTCTGGTCGCGTGGACTGTGACAGAGATCACTCGCTATTCCTTCTACACGTTCAGTCTCCTCGACCACTTGCCATACTTCATTAAATGGGCCAGGTGGCGATGTCTTGCTGTTCAGTTTCTCACTAGTGCATGTGTGTTGTGTGTGCTGAGCTAACACCAGAGAAGGAAAATTTGTGTCTTAGCCTGTGATGCCGGGATGCTGTGTTTTTGGCTATTAGCAGTGCTATAACTTGAATTCTGAAGGCTTAATTTAATGACCAGGGAGAAATCACATTAATATATATTTTGAGTAAAATCAATGCCAGACAAGTTACATCAGTATCCTTACCTAACCTGAATTGGTCATTCATTTTCCTTTGGAAGCAAAACATATAATTTTTTTGAATTATATTAATTAAATTCTGTGCCAAAAATATGACATTTTTTTCTGAATGATTTAAATTAATAATCTAGTATCCACAATTTTTAGTATCTTACATATACAATGTCAGTTTCTTTGGTGTTTTAAGTAGCAGAGACAGACATTTTTAAAAGTCACACTTAAGCTGCATTTTGGAATGTGGACAAAATTTATATTTCAATGTTTCTAAATATATCTATCCTTTTTTTAAAATGATTTTATTTATTTAACACAGACAGAGAGAGCACAAGTAGGGGGAGCAGGCAGAGGGAAAGGGAGAAGCAGGCTTCCTGCGGAGCGGGGAGCCCAATGTGGGACTCGATCCCACGACCTGGGATCATGACCTGAGCCAAAGGCAGCCACTTAACCGACCACCCAGGTGCCCCTAAATTATATTTTTAAAGTGAAAGATGTTCTGTTTTTTTTTTAAGTTTGAATTCTTTGAGCAACCAATATTTTACAAAGTTATTATAAAAACAAGACTGCAATTTGAAGAACAGATCACAAACCAGTGTAGATTTGTTCCTTTTGTTTCCTGGGTTGTATACAGTATACAACACATGTTGTATACTGAATGCATGCCTGAGATGTAGGGTTGAAAACAAGAAAAACTCTGTCCTCTCGAGACATAGGAGACCAAAAAAATAAAACAACTAACAGATATGTGAGATGCCAGGTAGTGGGAAGTGCAAGGAGGCAGCTGGGGAAGGATAGCTCTATCCCCTATATGTCTGGCCCCTATATGTCTCTTCCACATAGGTAAAGTAAAAGCATTCGACGGTATTTTCATTCTTTAAAGTTTTTGTTCAACTACAGAAGTATTACGTTTGCATTGTAAGAAATTCAAAAAAACACAGAAGTATATAGACTCAACATGGCAAGTTCCTATTTATACTCCTCCCTGACCACTACTTTCCCCTGGAGGGAAAAAGCTTGGAGTTTACCTATCCACACTTTTTCATATTAACGAAAATGTGAACACACAGACATGAGTTTCTAAAGACATAAATAGAATGACATTATGTTTGCTTTTTGTTTATATCTTGGAGTTCTTTTTTTTTTTTTAAATCAAAACAGGAACGTTTAGATCTAGTTGTAACTCTTAATGCTACCCAATTCCATAGTATGACTGACCAGTTCTCTGTTGCCTGAATTTAGATCATTTCCAGTTTGCCAATATTATAAATCCTATTTTGAGATATTATAAACAATGCTATGTCCATATTTCTATTTTTTAAAACTCTGATAGGGCGCCTGGGTGGCTCAGTCGTTAGGCGTCTGCCTTCAGCTCAGGTCATGATCCCAGGGTACTGGGATCGAGCCCCGCATCGGGCTCCCTGCTCAGCGGGAAGCCTGCTTCTCCCTCTCCTACTCCCCCTGCTTGTGTTCCCTCTCTCGCTGTGTCTCTCTCTGTCAAAATAAATAAGTAAAACCTTTAAAAAAATAAATAAAACTCTGATATTTATATTAACACATTCCCAGTTTGTTTGAAGGTAGCATACAACCAGTGTCAGATTTGTTTTTGATCCCTGTATAATAAAAGCCTAACACTTTTTCTTAAGTTATTACTCCTTTTTCATAACTCATATATTATACATGTTCAAATATAATGAACTATGTAATATATAAAAAGTCGAAAATGAAGGGAAAAAAGATCTTTTGAATTGCTTATAATCCTCCTCCATAAGGATAATCACTGTTAATTATATTTATACTCTAAGACTTTTTTATATGTTCTCGCTCCTTTGTAGACATTTTTTGTGGCTTACCACTTTGTTTATTCAAATGCTTTAAAATTATAATTTGAGCTGAAACCTATTGTTTCTCATAAGAAGGCTGCACTCCCATTTCTATATGTTAGGTTGGTTTTATTCTTATTGTAACCGAGCACTTTTTTACTTTGAGCGATTGGGCCTTTCACACAGTTGGCAGTTTGGAGTGTTGCCGGACTAATCCTAGAATCCATCTCAGTGCATCTTGCGTCTTGCATGACCTCAGTCTTCGTCTTGCATGACCTCAGTCTTCTGGACCTCCAGCACCTTTGAAAATACTAATTCATGATATAGTCTCTTCATTTACTGTATTTGTAAAATTTATTTGTGAAAAATAATGGTCTTTAATGTTTTGTCTGTCTGCCTTTTGGAATGCATTTTGCATGTCTTGAATTTCTGGAAAAGTTCAAAACATGTTTAAATTTGCTGTTTAGAAATCCTTTGTCAATTGCATTTATGTTAAACCAAGTACTACAAGATCTTTCAATTTTGAAATGTACATGTTAGCATAATACATGTCAGTTAATCATAATCGTGAGTAATTATATTGCATGTTAAAAATCTTAAAAGATTCCAACCATCTATATATATTTGCCAACCTCATTAAAAACCCTGAAATAATATTTGTATTTATAGTCAAATGTTGAAGCTGTCATTCTCAAATAAAACTTCACAGTAAGAATGGCTTCTTATTTATAAATAGCTGGCCTACTGTGATGGTTTGAATATACTTCTTACGTGTTAGAAATGTTCCTAGAAAAGTCCACTGAATAGGCACTTGTATGTTATTATGTTCCATGTTAATTTCCATTTTAATTTCAAAAATGCATTCCCTTCAAAAAATTTTTAGGTAACAATTAGGAATCTTTAACGAGGAATTCTTTTTCTGAATAGGTAGTTAAATTTCTCATGCTGCCATCAAAACTTATAGAGTTGGTGACATGCAATCTTTTTCAAGTGCAAAGAAAGTAAATTATATAATTTGTTCTCATTGCATTAAAAATAATCAGTGGCTGAAGGCTTTAAAGACTAGTTTACTCAAAGAATGATAATGCTGTTTTCTGTTGAAGAACAGTGCTTCCAGAAAAATCATTGGAGAGTCACATAAAGTTTAAAAACTATGTAAATAAGTTTGAATGTTTTACTTGAGAAGGGATTATAAAATATTCAGTTATATGATTTTTAAATTGAGCGAGGAAATTAAGATTGGAAGAGAGTAATTTAAATAATATATGAAGGGGCGCCTGGGTGGCTCCGTCGTTGAGCGTCTGCCTTCGGCTCAGGTCACGATCCCGGGGTCCTGGGATTGAGCCCCACATCGGGCTCCCTGCTCGGCGGGGAGCCTGCTTCTCCCTCTTGCACAAACTAGGAAGAAAGCAGGTGATAGACCCACGGCAAGGAGGGGATAAACAGGGACAGTAAAAGGATGATTGGTCTTTTTTCTGCCACTGAATCTATTTTGGCAAATAATTCTGTCCCCGCACCGTCTCTTGCCTGTATATGTCCTTGGCATACAATAATAAGGTGATCTTTAAGTTGTCTCCAAGTTTCTGCCACACTGATAAATTTAACATTTCTTTACAGATATCTTAATGCCATCTAAATGACGAACTAAAATACAGATTAATTTGATTTCTGTCCCTTTCCACCAACATTGTAACCTTTATTTTCTGTGGTAACTGCGTTGGAGAAAAGTGATTTTCTTTAATGGAGAAAGGTGGTTGCCTTGGGTCCTTGAAGCTCTTCCTGCTGGAGGCCCGTGGAGACCTGTAGAACCTTCCCCTCACCATAGGCATGAGTAATGGCTGGCCCACCGGGCATTAAAGACCTTGCCACAGCCCAAATGAACAAACTGTGATTTGGGATTTTGAACAGAACTTTCTTAGCTGTTGTAAGCACACTGACTGTTCCTTTAATGTGGGAATTTTGGAAACAACTTGTCTTACCTGTTTCATTATGAGAGCTTTAGTTTTAGACAATATATTCATTAGTAGTTACTGAAGCTTTAGTATTATTTATATATTAAATACACTAAATATATAAATATGTGGTGAGTAGTAGTATTTCAGTTCTCTGAGGTAGTAATTAATTCTCTTTTAATTAGTAGCCACAAAGGGGTTTCCAAATGCCTCCAAGAACCACTTTGGTAATTTCAAGATATAGATATAAAATTAAGATCACAGGTAGTCTTTTAAAGCACAGCACTTGATCAATAAATGACTAGCTGAAGGGAAAAAAAAAACCCCACTCAGTTTTGATTCCAAGTGTCAAAGAAGTTACCTTTACAATACCTTATAATACTTACAGGTACTTTACAATACCTTATAATACTTACAGGTACTTTACAATACCTTATAATACTTACAGGTACTTTACAATATACTATTTACAACACTTATGTCCTTTACAATACAAAACTACATACATATGCATTGTTAATGCATATACACTATTTCAGTACTGTAAAGTAAGTTGACTTCTTGTTTTATTAAGATCTTGCCATCTAAAATGGAAACTGCTATGAGAAAAAAGGAGGATAATTAACTTTATAAGCAAATGATTGAAGTAGAAAAAAATTAACCTTCTCCTGTGAGGGGCACTGTAAATATGTATATTTTTAAGTTTAAAGTAGTAGTAGTAGCAAAAGAATGATGATGTCAAATCCAGTCATTATTCTAGAAAAATAATTCTCCGGTGTCTTTCTTTCTCCAGATATAATTTTTTTATCATCTTATATCCCGTCGGAGTTGTTGGTGAACTTCTTACAATACATGCTGCCTTACCATATGTGAAGAAGACGGGAATGTTTTCGATAAGACTTCCTAATAAATACAATGTCTCTTTTGACTACTACTATTTTCTTCTTATAACCATGGCCTCATATATACCATGTAAGTATACGGTCATTGGTACTTTGATTAAGCATATGCTGCGAACGTTTTGTAAAGTATCATGATATGCTAGTGTAATAAGCAATGAGATGTGATCGCTTACAAATACATCAAAACCTCTGTTCAACCCCATGTGTATCATAATTTTAAATAATGGAAGAGTTGAGTGAGTCAAAAAAGACTCTTTCCTAGTTATAAGGAAAAAGGTAAGTAAATCAATACACAAATGATTGCTTTCTCAGAATCATTTAAAGAGAAGCTGAATCTGACTTTTTTTTTTTTTTTTAAAGAAAAGATAGAACACACATCAGGGAAGTGTTTGCCAGCATTTAGAGTTATTTATCTGAAGATAAACATTTTGTCCCTAGAAAATGTCAGGTCAGTTCTGTCTAATCCTTGAGCATACACTTGGAAAAGTTATTTAGGAGTACTTCTTAGTCTTGTGTGTATTGCTCGCTATACTAGAAAATAATGAGGCTGCTTTTCTTAAAATATTTTCAAAAACTCAGCTTCTTCACTAATTTCTCATCACCTTTCAGTAGTTGCCGTGAATTGGTGAAGCTTTACTCATTTCACTTAAATAGCAATAGTGGTAGGTTTTTAGGTCAAATTTTGATAGTCACTAGCAGTGAATGTGAAAGTAAAGCAAGGCTGTTCTTTACCCTTCTCGATAAAATTAGAGGCTCTGGTGTCAGTGAGGGAACAAAGGAAATAAGAAAAGTTTATAGCATCTAAAATCTACATTGACGCAATATTTAAATAAAACGTAAAAAAATATTTTATGTAGAGGGGATGAGCATAAAACCTGCCTAGTCCCTTGAGGCCTCCAACTTTTAAACTTTTTCAAAATCAAAACTGACCTGAGAGTCAGCCTGTTGCCCTTTCCCTCATCTGCTGCCATTTCAGCCTGACTCTCATCAGATTGTCCCTGGGAGGGGGCACGGTCAGGAGGGCCCGGGGTTGGCCACCTGCAGCCCCGTCCACCTCCCCAGCCATGTCTGGAGCAGAGCTAGAGCCCGCTTCTGTTCATATCACGGTTAGAGGTTTGGGGATCGGCTTCCCCTCTTCCTTACGACTAGTGTGGCATCTCCATGGAAACCCAGGGCCCAGCATGTCATGGCTTGAAAGCATCAAACCAGTAGCTGTTGGCTGGGTGTTTTCAGGTGTCCTGGGAGACGCAGACTCTGGCCTGTGTCAGCGGCAGCTTCTCAATTCACCCTGCTGACTGTTTCGTCAGGGTCCCACTTGCTGGAGCAGTCCACCAGGGGGATGTTTTCCACTTGATTATTAATATTAGCAGTCAGACAACTAATTGTATTTTGTTTATTAAATTTTGTGTTACTTAAAGGTATTAACAGTACTCTGAGTACTTTAGCACTCAAAAGAAGTGCTGGTAGTTTTCAATAATGACATCACAGATTGGAGGGCATTTCAAGGAGGACGTTATAGGCATCTCTTGAAAATCACCCAGCTAGTAAATAAGGCTAGTATTTGAACTCAAGCCCATACTTCTGCTACACTACTCAGAATGTTCTAGACGTCTTTTCAATAATCAGTTGGTTAGCGTTAAGTGTATTTTACCTGAGTATATTTAGACCCCTGGGTATGGTATGATAATTACGTTTATCAGGATGGGCAGTACCTAAATTGAAAAAAAAAATAAACTCTGTTGTGTATTTTTGCTCCATTTGGGTTAAGTTCTTTTTTTTTTTTTGTCATTAGGTGACTTGGTTTTAATCGTTCTGTCCATCAGTCTCAGGAATATTTTTACATTTGTGTTGTTTATAGCTGATGTTAATTTGTTCATCCTCTAGCACTGGTGCTATAAAGCACTATAATTTGAGCAAATTTGAGAGGGGCTCCTGCTCTGGGCTCTGTTTTAGAGGGCCCTATTCTGGCCCTCCACTGATCCTGATCACTTCTCCATACAGGCCCTCCCCTCCCTTCTAGACCACATTCTAGAAACCTGAAACCCTGGAATTTGCTGCCCACAAGGCAGGGAGTGTGCATCTAGGGACTGCACAGATAGACGTCTTCCCCGTTCTGTTCTCCTGAGGGGTAAACCGTGTCACCAGTATATACATCCCTGAGATCAAGGGGTAGCCAAGGGGCAGCTCTTTGTGAAGGGTATGGATGAAGCTGGGTTGTGTGGGCTTAGATACCCACATATGTTCATGAGACCCCTCATGGTACAGGACAGCTGATGGACCCAAGAAAAGGGGGCCAGGCGGGGCAGTCTTCCTTGTGCTGGAACATTCTGGCAGAGCATCCCAGGTCATTATGAAGGTATATTTATCAAGATACTTAACTTTGCTAAAGAATCCCCAACATTACAGGCATACCTCAGAGATATTGCAGGTTCAGTTCGGACCACTAAAGCTAAAATTGCAGTAAAGTGAGTCCAACAAATTTTTTTGGTCTCCCAGTGTATATAAAAGCTATGTTTACATTATACTGTAGTCTGTTAAGTGTGCAATAGCATCAGTGTGTGCACACCTTAATTAAAAAATACTTCATTGCTAATAAATGCTCACCATCATCAGAGTTTTCAGCGAGTCATTACCACTGATCACAGATCACCATGACAAGTACGATAATAATAATGAAAAAGGTTGTAATATTGTGAGAATTCCCAAAATGTGACACAGAGACACTAAGTGAGCACCTGCTGTTGGAAAAACAGTGCCAGGAGACTTGCTCGAGGCAGAGTTACCACAAACCTTCAATTTGTGAAAACTGCCATAAAAGGAGGCAAGCCTGGAAACTGTGGAGGCCTATGGTGTGTGGGCCTCGGCCTGAGTTCTGTTGGAGGAGGAGGGGGAAGTTGGGGTGGTGGGGGGGGTGGGCAGCGGTGGTGGATGCTGTGCTTGCCCTCAGAGTTTCTACATGTGAGAGGTTTCAAGTATAAATAATGTCAACAGCATCCTCCTTTGTTTTCTTTTTTCCATTAGTGTTCCCACAGCTCTATTTTCATATGTTACGCCAAAGAAGAAAGGTGCTTCACGGAGAGGTGATTGTGGAAAAGGATGATTAAATGATGCCCGCTAACAAGGTGCTTTTTCCAGAATAACCAGGATTACTTGAGTCCAAGTTTTAATAACAAGAATAAACAACTTTATGAAATACTACAGATTGTATGATTTCTTAGAATATAAAGTGACATGCGGTATTTGCCAGTATTTGTCTTCACATTTTCTATAAGAACTATGCACGTATTTATTACCAACTCCTGGGTGGGTGATGATCATTAAGAAAATAATGGGGGGGGAACCTTTTTTTAAAAAAAATTTACTAATTTTTTTTTGCAGTGTATGCTCCAGGTTTTTTAAATCAATATTTACAAATTAGTTTAATGATTTAACATTATGATACTTGCCAGTGGTATTTATGTGGTATTTATAAATGAAAGTAAATGCAGAATTATAATAACATGTTAATAATGTATTGGTATTTCCTGAACCCAAGATCTATTTCTTAAAAGTTATAAGGCAGCATTTTTGATTAATAATCATTTTGGAAAGCATAGACATAATTTTCTTTGATAGGACTTTTGATAAAGTAGCTATGTAACAAAAATATTCAAGTAGATATCACAATTGGAAGATATTCTTTGCATATATGATTAGGCTGTTAAAATTACATGTACCGCTAAGCAAATTTGTTTTTATTTGAATTAACCTTCAAGGACAACCTTTTCAACTGTAAGGATTTTAAGGGATTAGAAAGAATGTAAGTGTATACTTTGCCTCCCTTGTGAAAAAAGAATAACTTTGGGTCTGATCATAACGTTATAGTCAGAACTCTGGCTGAGAAAGGCTTCTCTATACCTGGAATCATCTAATAAAAATCATGTTTTGATAATCCCCTTGTGGGACTTAGGTAATGAAAAGTTTTGGGGTATGACCTAACAGACTCATTTTATTCTGAATTCCATTGAATTTCAAGCAAGAAGTCTTAAAATAAACCTCCTGTCCATGTGTTTAGTAGATAGACTGAAGATCCTTCAATACTGCTTTAATTCTTAAGTAGGCCCTTTAATTATTTTTCCCCTTACATTAAGGTATGCTGCGTACTGACCCAGTTTAGAAGAATATTAGATATGTGACTTTAAAAGAAAAGGATTTTTTTTTTTTTTTTTTTTGCCTACTACAGATATGGAGGTGGAATTTTGGCTTTCAGTGTTCTGTACTCTTTGGGCTTGCAATCAACATGTAACATTACACTTTTCCAAACTGTTTTGTTTTGTGGTACCACCTTCTCAGTTTTCTCCATGTGGAGATTTGCAGTTCAGAATAGTTTTGCAAACTTTCATTTTAGATAACATGATTTTTAAAAAGGTGCTATTTCCTTTATTGCATTTTAATATTTCTCTGCAGCTGAATGTTTTAACGAGCACTGTGTACTCTTATGTATGAGGTTACTAATTCTCAAAATGCAAATGTTCATTCTGCTTTTACACTGCTTGATCCGTTTTTATCTTGAATTTTTATATGGAAGAAATTTCCGGGGAGTTTTTCCCTTTGGTGCCATAGCATAAGAAGTTCACGTACATCTTGATCCTGTCAGATGCCTGTCTTATGAAAAATATTTTAAATGCTGTTCTTAAAACTTGTGTTCATTTAGCCTGTACTCCCTTCAAGTAGCTGTAATAACTCTTTTTCTCCTTTAGTTGTGGAATATCCTGAAGTAGGAATTGTGATTAACTTTAATAAAAATGAAAATGCATCAAACTATTATTTAGTGACCTTTGTTAGCATAGTATCCCTAAACTTTAGATTTAGTTTATCTTCAGTTATCTTTGATATTCAACTAATTCTAAACTGTCCCTTGGGTAAAAAACAAAGTGCTTAAATGAGAGTTTGATTTGAAAGAGAAAGTATTTGAAATTCCTTTGCACTTGTTTTCTGTGCCTGCATCTTTTGGAATTCTCCTGAAGTCACCCTAACTCTCCTTTTTCAGTAGGCAAACCCCAGAACATGAATCAAAGAGAACTTCCATTCAATCCTGTAGACCTTGGCATTTGAAAAACATATATCAAGAAATTGTGATACTAGCAACTTTCAATTATATTTGGTGACATTCCACAAAATTCTGGTTGTTTTTTGTAGCTTTAAAAAGATTGATATACAATAAGTACAGTGAGTGCAAGTCTTTTTTTTTCTTTCATTTTTCATAGCCTTAACTTGATACTAGTACAACAACAACCCTGTTATAACTTAATTTTTTTTTCCGTATCATTATTTTTAATGTCCAGCATTTACAATACGAGGGCCAGAGCTTTCTCCCCAACTCAAGTTTATAAATTGTCAATTGGCTTGTGAGGCCAATAGGGATACTTCTTCTTGTCTAATCTGGTTTCTGGGAAGACTTCATTCAGGTCCTCAATGGTCATCTGATCAAATGGAATTATGTTCCTCATCTTCTCCAGCTCTTTTTCATATTCCTCAATCCTGGCCTTTGAGAGAGACAAAAACTCAGCACAACTTTTCACATCTTCTTTTTCTTCAGTATCCACCTGAACAGTACATTTATCCTCTGGCACAGGAACCTTCAGGGCATTAAATTTCTCAAAGTCATCTACCAAACCAGACTTCGCCACATTGGCCTTGTAGTAAGCCCAGTCAATAGCAGGTGGTTTCTCAGGGAGAGTAGCCAACCTGGAGGTAAGTGTCTCATTCCAGGATTTCAGGGAGTTAGCAATGGCCTTCTGGTTTCGGGGTATGATCTCCCCAAAAGCTACCCAGTCAATGGTTTTTAGAGCAAGTTTTTGTGTAGCCACCTTGAGATCCTTCACTGACCCCGGCGGCCTAGAGTCCACAGCAGCAAGGAATGGTTTATAACTTAATTTTTTAGAAGTATGCCAAAATAAAGTCATTTTCACCAAAAGCTTTTATTGCTTGACCTCTAGATTCTCAGGAGCATTATTGTCTCATCTTTGGATTTGTAGGCATCTATTGGGTATGCCCCTGTCTTGTGGTTCCTGATGAGACATGGCAAGTGATATGGAATCCTACAATAACCTGCCCCCCCCCAAGTATTTATTTTGTGCCAACTGTGTGCCGAGGACCGTTGAAGGGAATTGGCATCTTTTTCTTATCATACCTCTTTCCACCCTACACAGCAAGACCACTGACACAATTGTTAGGTTGCATTGGCTAGGAACTCACATTGCAAAGTAATTATAAAATGTCATGGACTGGTAATCTGATGTGGCAGGATTTTTTTTGTTACTCATGTGTATACAAGTGTATCAGTGCCACTAAATAACATTCTGGTTTAAAACTTTTCAGATAGACTCAAAATCAATTACAGATGTGAAACTGATAAAATAAATCATTAAGGCACAAGGAAAGGAAGGAAATAACTGTAAGAAAAAATAGCTATAGAAACCAGCATTTGAAATGTTTTTCAAATGAATGTGTAAAACGTAGAGAAGTATTTTCCATTAACTTATATAGTGATCTGGAATAGGCATGTAACCGATAGAAGAAAAAAATAACAGTTTTGTAATTTCTAGTGTGAAGGCATTGAATGGAGTTGAAAATTCAGTTTGTTCATGTTTTTAGTCTAGATTTACAAAACAACTTAAGTAGACTTAAGTAGTTCCTCTAGATATGAAGCTTAAAAACATACTCTAAAATTTTTAGATTTTTTTTAGTGTTCCTATTGACAGCTTTAAAAAATATTTTTAGCATTTTTTGTTTTGAAATAATTTTGAACTTAATGGGAAAGTTGCAAGAATGCTAGTCTTCCCTTGAATTCCCCATTCCTAACACTTTGCCCCATTTGATGTAGTATTCCTTCTCTGTCTCTCCCTCTCTGTCGCTCCCTCTCTCTCTCTCTCTCTCTGTATTTTGTGAGCCATTTGAGAGTAAGTTGAAACCATTCACTTGTGATGGCTCCACTATATATTTCCTAAGAACAAGAACAAGGACATCCTCGTACACAGCCACAGTACAATGACCCAAATCAGGAAACTCATGTTGATACAGTACCTTTCTCTAGACTCTGGACCTCACACAAACCTCCTCAGCAGGGTGTTGGGAACAAACCACATCCATGTTCCCAGACCAGACGCAGTCCTGGTTCAGATGTTACAGTTCCAGTCTAGAGTGGCTCCCTGATTTTCCTTCATGCTTCATGACTTCGACATTTCCAACAGTAGAGGGGAGTTCCTTTATAGAAAGTCTCTCAATGTAGATTTGTTTGATGTTTCCTCATGATCAGATTTCATTTAGGCACTCTCCGGCAGGATTTTTGATTTGTTCCATTTACCGGTGATATTAACTTGGATGTGTTAGGGTTTCTGTTTTTTTTTAATATTTTGGTGACAGGGTAACACGCAGGCATTTTAGTAATAGAAGGCCTGTTGGTCTAGTTCTTTGGAGTTGGTCTTTGAAATCAGGCACTGGGATTTTTTTTTTTACCTGATTAATATGCTTGTCCTCTGATACATGAAGATTGGTATCTTTTTAAGTGCTTAAAAAGTACTAAACTCTTTTTACACATGCAATTTCCAGGTGTATTACTAAATCACCTTTATATTGACTTTTATGCCCCTAGACTATAAATCTCTGTAATTAATGTACTTTGGTTTTGCTTAAAATTTCTTAAACACAGCATTCTGTTCTACACTCTTACCATGTTATTCTGCTATACTGAAATGCTAAATAACACAAGATTGAGATTGCTGTAAAATTCAGTTTTATTTCTTGATTTATGGTAGTGCCTTATCCCTATATTCTAAAACGCAGTTTGTACAGTTTGAAAATTAAAAATTATCCTTAAATCCACTTAATGCTTTGTGGTTTTACTTTGAGGATAGGGACAGCAGAAAAATGGTTTTCAGAGCATAGCTTTTAGAAGAGTCAGCTGAGATCCCAGACATCCCCCTGCCCCCGAGAGGGCACATCAGCAGCCGTGGGGCCGAGAAGTCTGCATTTTTAGCAAGATGTGAGGCAAGTCTGGTGCAGACAATTTAGTTATTGAATCACCTTGGAGGAACAGTACAGTAGGTATCAGCGGGTGGAGGGAGAGGACTTCTTACAAATGCCCTATCAGTGTACTTCATATCACTGAAAACAACATTCCTGTGTCATTCTGTATTGTCTCTAATCAAAATGAACAC